ATCCACTTAATAAAGTTACGGTTTCTCGATTAAAGGTCACGTCGCAGTCTCCCAAGGGAGGGTAGTGAGAAAACCTCAAATTATACGGACTGGCTGTGGGACGTTTAATTTTTCTTTCTCTCTGTCCCCCCACCCCCCACCCCCCGGCTTTCCAAAAGAAAAATTAAAACGTGTGTGTGTGTGTGTGTGTGTTTTCCCTTGAGAAAAACTAAGGAACCACCACAACAAAAGCCCAAGAGTTTTGAGTCTAAATTCATCACCACGTTGGAGTCAGGAGTTCAAAACTCTTAAAAAACCAAACAACAACAGCAACAACAAAAAACCTGGACCTTAAACCAGCTTAAGGTTTCTTTGAGCAGACTTGTGTAGGTTTGCAAATTTATTCATACCAAACTCCAATTCCAAAGCTTCAAAGTACCCAGTTTTCATTTTATAATCTTGAAATCTTAAAACTTATTAAAATTAATGTTTTCTCATTTGTAAAAATCAGCTTGTTAAGTTAAATGGAACTTTCATTCACTTGGGGAAAAATCCTAGTTGTTATTTTCTCTAACAAACCCCATTTCCCTCTTTTTTTAAAAAAAACAGAATCAGATACATATTATATGACATATAAAACAGATACATGTATTAGTAGCTCTCCCACGACAAATATCATAGAAAACAGCATTAAGGAAAAAGAGTCCCTTTCCTGACTCTCCTTCTACTGTAAAGAATGCTAACAAGAAAGTATAAGAAAGTTTGTCACTATTTTCTGCAAACGAGGAGGTAATCTGTAAAGAAGACACATTATGTACAATGGCACCATTGCCACTTAAGCAAGTTATTTAACCTTTTAGAGCCTCTGTTTCTTCATCTATAAAACAGGGAAATAATAGCTCCAGCCTCAAGAGATGTGAAGATTCAATGAGATAATGCAACCATATGGCACATAGTAAGCAATCATTAAATATTACCTGTGGATAGAAATGGCTGTTAGAGATTGACTTTTAAAAACAAGCATTTTTTTTTGTCTGAAAATACTTTGTTTAGAGAGCTTATAGTCAAAAAGTGTCAAGGTATTTTGTTACAAACAATAGTGTCTATGAAGCACCTGGTATACAGAGCAGCAAGCATTTAATAGGTGCTTAGCAATGTTTATTAGGTCATCATTTCCTGAAATAACATTGTGATGTATAGAGTTGAAGAAGTCTCTAATTCCCACATATAGCTGATGAACCTAGTTTATATATAAAGCAGTGTCATAATCCAAAGATCTTTATGATTACTTTTAACTCCCTTGAATTATACAGTGTTTAATCTTGTTTAGAAATGGTTAATTTATACATACACTTTAAAATGAAACGAATCAATTGAAAATAAAAATAGAACACTGTGTC